ATGCGGGCATACTTCTAACCTCCGCCAAACACAGATTAAAGGCTGAACTCATACAAAAGGTAAATACCAGGCGGACTGTGGCAACCAACTGCCATACAACCAAGAAAATTTGACCAAAGATTGATTTAAGGCGACCTAAAGCTCTCACACGTCTGTACCGCTCCTCTCTCACATTAGTGAGAACGCGGAAGAGCGTTAGGATACCCCACCAACGATTTTTGTCGCAGTTGCAGAGACGAGGTAGAGGTGGAGAGCATCGAACATATTGGCTCGCCAGTATGCGCAACCAATTCTTCGACAAGTACTTTCTATATTGTTTAGCCGACTTGAACTCGGCGAACGTCCTCGTCCGGTGTTATACGTATACTTACATACTTACGAGCTTAAATGTATCTATGCAATTAAAACCTGTGAAGAGTGACTATGTCGAGATGCTCTATTTTTGTTTTATTAAAACCAATGTACATATCAATTTAGGTGTTCCTGGTGCATAATTTGAAATTATAACTAGTAAATTTTTTTTTAGCAGTCTGCATACACAAATGCTTTTAAGTTATTGTATTTTTGTACGTATGTAACTATATATTGATATATTGCTTGCAGCATAAACACGATGCTCAAATTATTCCTTTCATTGGTTGTTCTTTGCTTCGTGGCAACTTCATTTGGTCAAACATTTCAATACTCCCACGGTTGGACCAATGGCAAGCGGGCACTCAGCACACACAGGGATGTCGATATTTCCGAAATGCTCGGTGTTCAACAAGACGGTGATCGCAGGCTGGAAAGGTGTGTGTGTTTTTTGTTTTCCTTTTCTTTTTTTTTTGAGAATTAAATTACTTCGAGATTTTCATGTACATACATATGACAACCCATTTTTGTTCTGTTCTTCTTTTGCTGCTTAGGTGTCTTATGCAGCTGCAACATATACTCCGCAATCCCCTGCAAATTCGTGCCGGCGTACAAGCATTGACTCCAACAAACAACAATGCCAACAAAAACCCATTTGGAAATCATCATCAATCAAATGAACTTTACGAAGAATTGAATGCTGCTGAAGCGAACGATTATGGAAATCATTAAATCGTGATTATGGCCGAATTAATATTAAAATGAAATAAATGACTCGATCCAAAATTATTAGTAGGCATCTACATTTAACGCAAAAAATGGAGTTCTATTGACCTTGCTCAGTTATTTATTGTAAATATAAATAAGTATGTATGTAGGATTTCGAAAATATGTATATGTATATCTATTGTTATTTACGCTTATAGCGCTCTTAAATAAATTTGAAAAAATCTTCCAGAACACATAAATATGTATGTAAGTGAGGTTATACACAAAAATTATTTCAGAAAAAACTTGCAAATATAGCAACAAAGCTAAATTGAATTATACTTTTTTGTGATGTTGGGCTCCGAATGTTAATTGATTTGTATGCAGTAAAATTTCCACTCTGTCGGCAATGCAACACAACAACTGTAGGAAATGAATCAGCAGAGGCTTTCTCCTTTTAGGAAAATTCGTTAAATTTAAAGTAATTCAGAAATATTTATGTACATAAAGCCAAAGCTGAATTCTCTTCTATTTCTAAACTATAATTGGCGGAAATGGCCAATATGCGCCACCACGGTTAAATGCCGAATTGGAACCTAGTTGCGCAAATGAGGCCTTTCCATAAATTATAGTTAAGAAATATGTAAGAGAGACTCATGCTTTGGCTTGATGCATTTCTGCACACAGCCATTGTCGCGGAATTTGACTTTTTTTAACCCGCTCATTAAAAATTTTAAACCCCACTTTCAGCTTGAAGCTTCAATCTTATTTAGCGTTCCTTTCCGTCCAGTAATAAGCTCATCACCCAGTGAACAGCGTATATTTAGATTGTTGCAGATGGACGCTGATGACCTAACATAGTACCAAGGACTTCGTCTGGCTAAGCACCAACGAGCTGTGGGCTAATGCAATGGCCAACACGCACAAAATCCGAATTCGGTCTTTCACTTCGATAGCAAAAGATCGCAAGATTAAAAGGAGGATCAGGAAGAAACTAAAATCTTATACATATTTGTTGTTTGCATGGGAAAAAAATTTATAACGATATATATATACATATATGTACCTACACACAGTAGCGATTTCAAGTCATTATAACGGTTTAAATTTTAAAATCAAAGTCGCTTATTCTTTAATTTTAAGTTTCAGAGGTACATAACGTATCATTAAAGTAATAATAATCGACCTTTACAAGAAAAAAAAAAATTGTGGGTTAGGCCAATTCTGCTCCCATTATAAAAATGTTAATGAAAAAAAAAACATACATTGAGTTAAAGATGACTATAGTTTGAGAAACTAT